GTTGTTGATGCCTTGCTCGCAAAAAATCCCCAAGCTTCAGATACGCCCACCTCCAAGATTTTTTTAACGCTGCTGTGTGGACGGTCCGTCACCTGTCAACTAATTCGCTGGTGGCTGGAGCACGGCGTGGCCTCAATGAATTGTTTGGCTTGGCAGCCGTTTCGTACACTCGCATCCGGACAGTGCATCTGACTGCCGGTGCGGTCGCGGAGAAATTGCTCCGCTAGAGACTCCCCTGGGCGCAGTGTTGTTATCATCTGGTGAGTTGCCGTTGTCTGCCTCCCTTTATCACCTGACACTTGGCACCTGGCTTATTTTATTATATTTATTGCTGCAGCGGGATTTTGCCGTGGCCTGTGTGTCTCTCTCTCCCCTGACGGCTCGGGTGCTATGCTGTGGCTGAATAGATTGTATGTAGCCTAGGGCTGTGCAATGAATCGTATTTTAATCGCAATTACGATTTTGGCCTGCCACAATTACGAAAACAACATAATCGAAAAAAACGATTATTTTGCTTTGCTAGGTTGTGACAGTGCACTGCAACTTATTTGATCTAATTTATTTGTATTTATCATATTTATATAGGTTTAGTAGCTTGTTGAAGTGCGCTCCAAAATATTTGTTGATCTTGTTTATTGGCATTTATTATTTTGATATTATTTATTTAAATGTAGATATAAATGTATCATTTATTTTATTTATTTGTGTATTGGTTTTTCAGTTGAATTATACGTTCAGGGAAATCAACAGTTAAAAAGATACTGTTCAAATTATTATTTGTATTTAAAAGTTCAATAAATTGATGTTTTCAAAGTCATGAATAATGGTATTTAATAATCGTGATATCAATTATTGACCAAAATAATCGTGATTATGATTTTTGCCATAATCGCACAGCCCTAATGTAGCCTATGGGAACCTGTAAATGCAGTTATCGACATCCAGGTGTTTATTTGGCCTCTAAATAATATTATATGCACCTGTGCACTTTTCAGGGGTGCTATTAATTGTAAGGCCCACCTTCGGACAACTGGTCCTGCTGTTTTGGCTCTTTGCAGTGACTCACTGCTGGGATAAACTTGCCGTCGCTTTGCAAGCTCCGTGGCTGGTGACGTGCCCCCTCCCCGCCCCTGCTGGACTCTGGAGCGGTTCGGGCTCTCAGGGAACTCGCCGACCAATTCTCACAGATACAACTCACTGTTTAATTTGAGAAACTGTTATTTTGGTTTTGTTATTTTGTTTTGTTCATTTAGTTGATATACTAATGTTTTCCTTATTTAATATTAACCATTGTGCACAGACTTTATTTGGATACCTTCATTCATTTGGTTTTGTTCTTTAAGTTTATTTACTAGTGTTTTCCTTGTTTAGCATTGACCATTGCATACAGACTTTGTTTGGATAAGTCCATTCATTTGGTTTTGTTATTTAAGTGTATATACTAGTGCTTTCCTTGTTTAATATTAACCATTGTGTGCAGACTTTATTTGGATAAGTTAATTTATTTGGTTGTATTTGTTTGGTTATTTATTTAATTGTTTATTTAAGTGTAATACTGTGTGGAGGTTTTAACCGTCTTCCTCTTGTCAGACAGGTGCTGTGGGCCTGAGGCGGCAACCCCAATCCCTGGTGGTGGTGTTCTTCACGAGTCCTGTTGTTTGGTTTGCGGTGTCACGGGTGGTTTTGAGTTGGACCCTTCCCCCTTTTTGATTTATTGCCGCCTGGTAAGCCCCAGCCCTGTCTTGTACCTCCTATGTCCCAGTATTAACTTTTAGCTGATTGTATAATGTGTATCTGGTGTTTTTAGAATAGTTAATTGATTGTTATAAAGTAATTGTGTTAACTGTAACTGAAACTGTCTCTGGCCCGTTATGTAAAACGAACATGTGTTCCTTGTGGGGTAAATCTTTTATTATCAATAGTTATTACCCCAGGGCACTTAGTACAGATCGCGTTCACACCGGAATAAGTTCCCTGAGGGAAGATTACGTAAATGACTTTGTCTTCTTCTGCTTTGGGTTTACTGGCAGGCCGCAAACCACTTCACGGTGTATACTGCCACCCGAAGTCCCCGGCCGGAAGTCCCCAGAGTTGGGGACTGGCTTCAGTAGAAGCTGCTGGGACTCCCAGCAGCTTCTACTGAAGCCTTCCGAGTAAATCGCCAGAACGCCGACACCTCCTCATCTCCACCGCTCCCATGTTTTATTTTGTGTTGCCATAAGTTAGTCTCTCTGCGTTTGTGCGCTGGGCGAATGCTAATGCTAATAATGCTAATGCGAGGATAATAAAATGGCGGCTCTACAAAACATTTCAGAGTTTACGGGGCCTGTTTTGCAATTCGCCCAGCCAATCAGAACTGGGGCACTTTTTTCCCCCAGGAAAGTACCATCTCTCAGCAGGCACTAAAAATGGGGGTAAAAGTTCCTCTTTTTGGTGTGAACGCGACATAAGGGGTACTAACGGAACTAAACGCGAAAAGTACGGGGAAAAGTACTCCGGTGTGAACGCGGCTATTGAACCCAGGAACAGTGTGGGCATGCTCTGCAGTCCCAGCCAGGCATTCAGTTAGGGGTGAGTTGACATTTTGAAGCGGGCGGCCTGGCTCACCCTTGGGATGACTGGAGAGCCTCTTACTTTTACTTGATAGATAGATAGACACAAAATGGTCGGTACTGCTGCTCTATGACTGCAGTTCTCCCAAAGGGGCTGCTGTCATTCTGTTACGGTAAGTGTGCTACTGCAAGTATGCAAGTGGTCCTGAATGGGCCATGCAGATCAAGTCTATCAACCCTAATAGGCGCTTTCACACCGGAGTACTTTTCCCCGTACTTTTCACGTTTAGTTCCTGGGATTTTGCGTTCACACCAAAAAGAGAACTTAGTTCATGAGAACTTTTACCCCCTTTTTAGTGCCTGCTAGAGAGGTGGTACTTTCCTGGGGAGAAAAAAGTTCCAATTTCTGATTGGCTGCGAATTGCAAACCACTCCCCGTAAAACTAGGAAACATTTTTTGAAGCCGCCATTGTATTTGCTGGCATTAGCATTATTAGCATTAGCCCCGCGCACCAACGGAGAAAGAACAAGTTATGGCAACACAAAAAAAAACATTGGAGTGATGAGGTGTCGGCGTTCTGGCGATTTACTCTGAAGCCAGTCCCCAACTCCGGGGACGCCGTGAAGTTGTTTGTGGCCTGCCAGTAAACCCAAAGCAGAAGAAGAAGTGACGTCAGCGGCTTCATTTGCGTTATCTTCCCTCAGGGAATTTATTCCGGTGTGAACGCGATCGGCTCTTAGTTCCATGGGGGTACTAAGTGCTGGGAACTAAGTACGGCAAAGTACTTGGTGTGAAAGCGGCTAAGGGCTGTATCAACGAGGTCATCCAGGCTCGGAAGGAGAGTCATGGCAGCCATCCCATCGGACAGTCCTTTGTAAAACCCATTGTGGCAGTGGGTTGTGGTTAGAGCGCCAGCTGCTGGAGTGATGGGAGTGGCTCAGCCGGAGGCCAGACAGCTGATCAGGATCCGGTTATGAGTTACTAAATAAAAGCATGATGGTAACCTGGTTCTGGTCTGTCTTGCAGTAGCCACCCCGGATATTTTTTCAATACACTTTGTTTGTTTTCACAACCCGCATTCTCTTTCCATCATTTTTAACTCCAGTGTGAGCCAGAACACTCACACCCATACAAAGGTGCATTTTACATACACCCACAAATTAAATGTGGAGCATTGCCTTTCCTAGCAGTTTACCGACCTTGGCACCCTCGTGACCTCTGAGATGATAGAAAGCTCCTACGAGATTGAGTTGGGATGTAGTTTTAAGATGAGAGAAGGGCTTTGTCTTGGTTACCAAGTGAGATGGTAACATTGGAAACCAGGCAGAAGTAATGAATGAATAAGTAAATGATCAGAAGGCATTGGTGACGGGCAGAAATCTATCTGTAAACTGTGATAGAACGGACAGTTTTGGTAATTATTTTTGCATGACTGTAATTCATGAGCAACTGTTACTAACTGTCCAAATTATAGAAACTAATACCTTTTGGGTTTTTATAGGTAGACCACTACTCAGAATTGTAAGCCCATGAATGAACAAAATCATCAATAACAAAAACTGGCAACTGCTTCTGAAATTATTTCTGAATTCACAACACCAGGTCAAATTTGGTGGGAAATGTGTTGGATTACTTTATGGCACTAGGCAGGGCACTGTTCCTCCAGTGAAAACTGATGACAAATGTTGACAAGATTACACAAAGCAACCAGAAAAGAAAAATGAAGGTTTGTTTTCTGGAGCTTCCGCACGTTTTCCTTCTGATGAGGTGGTCTTCTCCTGGCTAAAATGACAAATCAGGTCCATTTCTGCTGGTTTGGATTTGTGCAAAAACTCTCAAAAACAAAATGTACATGGAACAGTTAATGCCTCAGTTATTACATAATTGGCTATAGTACCTATAAAACAACACCACACATGAGGATTATAAAATGTCAGTGATATTTTGTATTTTTAAGTTTGGAATAATGGACCAAGTTTAAAATTGAAATACAGGGCAACAAAGTTCATAATGAAAATGCATATTATCACAATAAATCAATATGTACATTAAAATGACAGATTGTGCAATATACAGACTTGATACATTCCATAATATGGTTAAATGTTAAATTACAGCAGGATGCAGTACAATAGAAATATTTCTTTACAAAGATACAATATGTTTCATTTAGGAGAGGATAAACAAAATGTACAGCATGTTTAAGAGGAGTGAATGTCTTAATCACATTTGTGTTAAATGTATAGGACTTTTAATAGAGGTTTCCCATCTGTTATGGTAAGCAAGTTATGGTGTCGAAAAATATATGGATCATCCATACATTAATCCCTGAATTCATCCTTCCTTCCATCCACCTACCTACTATTAGTTCTATGTCATCCATCCATCCATCCATCCACCTACTTTATACTTCCATCCATCCATCCATCCATCCATCCACCTACTTTATACTTCCATCCATCCACCTACCTACTTTATACTTCCATCCATCCACCTACCTACTTTATACTTCCATATATCCACCAATATACCTATCCATCTATGCATCATTTTTATTTGCCTATCAACGTTGGGGCGTTGCTTTTAAAGACTGATTCCAGTTATGTATTCAGTCCTCAGGTGAATATGCAGACTATAAGATCATCTCGATTTCTCCTTTCATTTACATAAGTAAATGAGTATGTGTAGGAAGCTATCTGGGACATGCCGTCTATCCGGAGTACAGTGATGCTGTCTGAGATTTCTCAGTAAATAGTCCGTAGAATTCAATCTATCAGTAGATATGCAAAACAATGCCGAAAGCCTCTTAGGGAAAATGGTGTACAACATTACAGCGGACATACAGAACAATTGATCTTCAGCCGAAAATGATGCAATGTTAGACTGGCAATGGCAGTTATTTACATTTACTGTAATGTTCTCCATTCCCTCTCCATGAATGAAACTTCAGTGTACAGAGCCATTATACTCTCTGGAAAAGTGAATCCTATACAGCTGTGGGTAGGAAACAGCCCGGGTGCAGCCTGATAACAAGCATCTCCCTGAAAAATCACTTGCAGCAAATTGCCAGTTCCCTGACATGACTTTGCAGCTTAGCTTACCTGAAGCTTACAAATAGCTAACAATTGCTAATATCTCAGTAACAAAAACACTGGTTTCAACTTGGACTTCACAAGACTCTGAATCTGATAATGCTGATGCAAAGCTGGGCTATAGAGTAGTGCAGTAGTAAGTACTAAAACGCAGAAATGAGTTAGCATTTTAGCACTTTCTTCCTGGGTTTTGGGTTAGATTCCTGAAATGCGGCCTGTGGGACAGAAACTTCAAAATGTCAAAGTGTTGTTCTTCAACATAAAGTTGGTCAGTAAATTCCCAAGTTGTGAATATCTATAGCTTCTCTGTTTCATAAAAACAGAGGTTGCTAACAATTGGCTAAAAAATGTTCATGCTAAACACAAGTCTGCTGTTAGCTTAGTGGTCTTGATACTAAGCCGTTCGACCATGATGTAGTTAGTTTATAACCTAAGGTTAGCTTTTACTCCTGCGGATTGTATTAAGGCTTCAAAAATAATCTTAAATATGTGTTTGCCAAAGAGCTTATTTTCTGAACCCTTCTAAAATCGAATGGACAAATCCTGTTGCTAATATTGTCGAGGAAACCCCAAAATATGTCATCGCTGCACCGCTCTATTGAATTCAGCTACACAACCGGTATTCAGATTCTTCATAGTATCTATAGTGAAAATACAATCAATCTGGTCGCTGATAATATATGTGTATGAACATTGCTAGCTATGAGTCGATGCCAATGTTGTTGAGATAAATTATGTAATCAATCAAATGTCCTAAGTGAGTGACAGATAGTGTGATATTCCTATATCACTTACTGTTTAAAATGTTGTTATTTTTGCTAAAGATGAACATGTAAATGCATTATAGCAAACATAATAAGTAGTCAATTAGGAGAACCACATCTTGGACCTTGGAAAAATTGTACAAAATGTTAACATCTCCAACCATGAAACCTTCTATGCCAAAAATGGCATCATGGATCAAAATAAACAATGATTTACATATAAAAGGTTTCCGACCAAAACATCATATTTTATCTGTATGACACATGTGAGGACATGCCCTAAGTTATTTCAGATTGAATAAAACCAATGTAAATTATTTTTCTTTTATAATGACAGGGTTATCTGGGGTAACTTCAAGTATGAAGGGGAGATATTTCTTTTGCAAGTCTACAGGGTGCAAGAGCTGACACTTTGAGATAACATAATCTGATGTAACGTAATGACATTATGTGGGGTTCTACAAGAGTGAGTAAAGGCAAGTGAGACAACTTCAAAGTTGTTCTGGAGCATGCAGCTACTGCAAGGTGTCATAGTTTGAACCTGAAGAGTTGAGCGACTAAAGCAGGGCAGCAGAGGCAGAACCTGGTCTGAAAGAGTTTTACTTCAGCGAAGTGTAGCAGCTAAACAAGGCACCTTGCCAAGGTCTGCTCACAACCAGCACACAGACTTTATCACGTTCCCTAAGGTTTTCAAAGTCAGAAATGGGAACTGAGTGTTTTAGGTATTCAGCCCAACCACTCTGGAGTTGCATTGTCTACAGTACAATAGAGTTAATCCAGTAAAATCCAATAACTACAACGATTCAGGTTTTCAATCTCCACAGATGACAGCTTGTAGTTCTTAGAATTAAAAGTCTTACAGATGTAGCACTCCACTCTCCCGCTGTGGCATTCTGGCATGTTAAGGTTCCAGCTTTTTCCAGAGGCTTCACAGAGAAGCTTCAAAGTGTCAGACATGAAAACAGTTGAAAAAAGGATAGCAGGGCATATTTGTAGTCCATCATGAATAACTACAAGTAGAAAACTAGGAAACTGTGGTTGAAAAACCATGTTTGTGATCCAACAAAAAATGTTGTAGTCCAATATAGTCAGCCAGGTTCATCAGCTGTCTTGAGACACATCTCCCCACGTACTGGCTTCATTTTCATCCGAGTCAGAGAGTATTGCTGTACACAGATCACTGAAGATATCTGAAAAAAAAAATATTCAAGTTAGTTTAACCTTTAAATACAATTGACGATCTTTCTTATATAATAATTCACAAAAAAAGTATTTGACGTGAACAAACAATGGCATTCAAACATAATGCTTCGGGAGGGGGATGCACAGCCAGGACTGCCCTGCCAGTATAAAATAACACAGAGACATAATAGTAAGGCATTCAAAATCTGCAACATATCAAAAGGCAAGAATTATGGGGAAGGCAGACATAAGTGACCAAATCAGGTGAAGAGGGATTTATAAAAGGGTTACACTTATCCAAAATACTGAATAATAACTGCTAAGCGTGTTAAGTATAGCAAGTTCTGTCTTCCTCAAAAACTTAAAAAATAGATAAAGGGAAGAGAAGAGAAGGGAAAGTGAGGAGAGGGAAGTGATGGTTGGAGAGAGGCGGACAGAGCGCAGGAACAAAACAAGTGAGGCCGCTGCGAACACTTCCAGAAGCTTTCCAGCCGGCGTGATATGTAGGAGATGTGAGGATGGGGAGTGAGGGTAGAGGGGACATTAAAGCGAGGGAACAGAGACAAAGTCATCAATACGGTATTGCAAAATACATGTCTCTGGTTTCAGAAATACTTTTCCCAACTTTAAATTTAGGGACATTTTTACCGTTCCTTAACATTGAAACAAAATAGTTCCCTTTATAATTTAATATATAAAATATTTTTTCAAAATAATGATCATTATGATTATTATAATTATTTGACTATAGGATCTTTTGATTTTGGTTCCAGGGTTGTAGGTTTTCATTAAAAAATATATATTTGTATGCAATCTTTTATTTTTTCATTAATGAAACCAGGACAAGTCTTGATCAATCAAAGTGAGATAATAAATCTTGGCATCAAAATATATTTTTTTCTTCCTACTGTACGTCCACTCCCATCATCTTTAATGGAAAGAGATGTGCGAATGTGCTCCAACCAGTGATATCATGCTCTGATTATTCAACTGAACAAGCCAAAGCTCTTCCATCCCCATCCACTCCATCCAACCTGAAGCATGTCCAACAGCCCCCCCCCCCCCTTTCCCAGAGCAGCTTCCCACCCAATCCCCTGGCCCAACTGCCATGTGAGCGAGAGAGAAGCAGCTGAAGTTGGAGTAGTGGAGCGGAGGGAGGAGTGGTGTGTGACTGAGTGAGTTACAGCATTGCTGCCAGTGGTTAGTCAGATGTAGCGTTGTTACTTAATGAGTGACCTTCAGATGCTGTTTGCAGTATACTGGAAGGAACCAGTCCTGTCTCCTCTGTTAAAAGGTTCTTCACTAACCTAGAACATGAGACACAATGCAGCAGAGGGAAAGTGGATACAGTAGCTCTGAAATGTACAGGAACCATAGTTTATTTATTTATTAGACTTGACTCTGCTTTTTATGTACATGTTGAACCAAAGCAATCTTTCTTTGTTGAATACCCCAAATAGGAAAGTACATTTTCATAGTGTAAGTGCTGATTTAATAGGTGTTTGTAGTAGAGGCATGTGACTGCAGGGTTGGGAGGGTTACTTTAAAAATGTATTCCGTTACAATTACTAGTTACTTGTAAAAAATAATCAGTTACCTAATCTGATTATCAAAATATAAAATAAATGTAACCTGATTACTTTTGGATTACCTCTATATCCAAGGCAAGATATTTAGGATCAGAAAGGATTTTGTTTATAGGAAAACCTGCCCATATATAGCCTTAGTTTAATACACACAGTTAAGCTCACACACTATTTTATGAACATATAGGTTCACCTGCTGAATTAAAAACAGAACAAATGAAGCAAAGAAAGTGAAAACCATAAAACAGATTCAGGCAGTAGGCGTATAGATTCACTCTTTGAGTATTAGCCTACAGAACAGCACAGTTTACAGAGAAGAGAGAACATCTGGTCCTTTACAACAAACACTATACTGTATGCTCTTTTTAGATTTTGAGAAACATTGTAATCCTGATAGCAATCCCCAATTTTTGGGAAATGTAGCAGTCATTTTTATACAACTGTAACAGAATACAGTTCCTATTATTTGCATCCTGATTTGATAATCCCATTGCCTGTAATCTGTTCCTCGCCCCAGTCTGGTGACTGACTAACATCACAGCCTGAAAGCAAACCTTGGTGAAATGGAAGTCTCATGTTCAAATGGTACCACTCATGTTTCAGATTTTTTTTTAATGAGGCTTCATGTGAGGGGTTTGTCAGTTATATGCTTCGTCCTAATGACCGACATAATTGGTTTTGCAGAGCTGGTTTTCCGACCAAACACACCATTAAAGACCTGGAATAGAGCCAGCTCATTAAATGTCTCTTAATTATTAAACATGCAAATGTATCAATTAGGAATAAGACCACCTTAAAAAAGGTTTCGGAGGCTAAGAGAAAAGACATGGATAACAAAATCCCAAAAATTGAAAATTGTGGGATCTGTTGGACAGGACAAGAAGAAGAAAACACAAAAGGTCAGCAGAAACTAGATTTTCAGCTCTTTTAAGCTACTTTTGAAGCTGGAACCGACCTCAAGAATATGGAAACGTAAGAATAATGACTTCTTCTTCTTGCCTTGAGTTAAAGAACATAAACCACAGGAGCACTAACCTTTGAAAATACAAATACAGAAATGTGCCAATTTGGTTTGATTTTGTCATTTATGGGGCAATTAACAAAAAGGCAATAAACACGACATGCCAAATTGCATTGCTCATTTGCTGAAAACAGAGTTGGAGTCTAATAATGTTCGCAAAGTGACCTTCATCTGTGCAGTGGTTCTGCACTGTAACCTGAACTATATTATAAAACAATATTCATAATTACAATATGTATTTTCCCTTTCCATTTCCCCCAAAAGCAAACAATAAAAAAAAACACTCTTAAAAGGTTACCAAAGTAGTTCCAAAAAATGCAAAGGATAAAATAAATTCCAAACTCGGTTCTTAGCTCTTAGCAGAAAGACATGGACTTGACGCTGGCTGTCTGGCACATGGGATGAAACGAACTGGCAACAAGACAAGGGAGACAGGATCTATATATAGGCAGGCTAAGGGGGCACAGGCTAAGGGGGCACAGGCTAAGGGGGCACAGGCAGTGCTGAAGCACCCCCCAGGATAGCCATAGCACCCCCTAAGCACCCCCAAGAAATGTATGTCTTTTTTTTTTTATGTGTGAAATTCATAATTTGAAAAAGGATTGATTCGAAAATAATATGCTACAGTACAGTACAAGTAGCCTACTTCTGGGTCTCTGTGTTTCATTCAAGCTATGCTCTGTGTGTGTGTGGCACAAGCCATTTTGTGTGTGTGCGCGAGCGAGAGAGAGAGAGCGCGCACTGGTACCGGAGATCGTTGTGGTTAGCATCTGGTGCTAGCTACGCTAACGGATATAAGGAGCTTTTTCAACAACAAGGTGGAGGGAGAACTCTCTCCTGTCAGACTGAGAGTCTCAGATAACCTCAGCTCAGGTGAAGTAAAGGACTCTCAGTGTTTAGATAGTTAACTTTAGTCTTAGTTATCTCAGTGGGTCTCAAAACACAGAATAAGTATTTCTGAGGCACACGTTTATATGATCATTATAGGTATAAAAAAATAAGAGCATAAATGAAAAACAGGTATGAAATACTATATGACAGTAAAACAAGAATACAGTTTAAAAGGGGAGTGATTTGTAAAATATCCATAAAGAAATAGAAAATCTGTTTACTGTTCTGTTTCATATGGGTGTTGAGAGATATCCATAGATCTCTTGATGTTGCTCTCAGAGTGCACCAGATTGATGCTTTTAACTTCAATATTTAAAAAAAAATCGGGTCGCGGGTACACTGTGTGTGTGCGTGTGGGGAGTGTTGCAGTAGAAAATTCCACTGTAGCGCCCGGGACATTAATGGGAAACCCTAAATGTTTGAGCACCCTCTATGAAACGTCAAGCTACCCCACAGCACCCCCAAAAGAAAATCTCTGGTGCCGCCACTGGGCACAGGTGCAGACAATCAGGGCGGGGTCGACAATCACAGTGGAGGGAAAACACACAAAGGGAGGAAGTGAGGTGATCTGCAACAAGAAGGAAAGGTTACTACAAAATAAAACAGGATACAAGACTGAACTAAATACATTAACTTAACAGATTTTACAAGACACAACAAAATATAAATATGCAAACAGCGTGCATGAGCTGTAAATAACTTTATACACAGTTGCACACTAACTAATCCAACAAAAAGTAAAAAGGGAGGATTCTAAGTTCTTCACTTCCCTCAAACGAAGAGTGTGAGTTCTTTTAGCTGCAGATGCGGACGATAAGAGATAGCTTTTAGGGCTGAAATTTGCAAGAGCTGATGTAAAATGAGCAAATTCAAAGCAAGTCGAGCTTTCATCTAAGTGTGTTAGTCTCTTTAAAGCTCCCATGTCATGCTTTTCCGGTTATTACCCGTCCCCTTGTGTGTTATGAAGGTTTTTATGCATGTAAACGGTGTGCAGAGTCAAAACCCTCAAAGTACACCCTGTAGCGAGTAAAACTCTAACACAGAAAATACCTCCCCAAAACGCCTCGTTGGAGATACGTCACTGCCCATTTGAGTCTTCCATTTAGTTCCGGGTACCGCCTGATGTCATGCGGTACCCGGAACGAAATGGACCAATCCCGAAGAGCTATGGCCACACCAGCAGCGGCGTGTTCCTCCTCCAGAGGTTCGAAGAACCGGCATTTCACAGACGAAAGCTTCCAAAACATTGCCCAGTTTGAGGCCGGATATGCACAGCTTGTTTGGACCGTTTGGAGCAGGGGAAGATCTGGGTATACAACCTGTAAGTTTGCATTGTTATTTGTGTATTTATCAAACAAGACTGTTTAAATGTGTAAACTGTGTTGGACTGCTAAGCCATTGACACAGTGCTAACTGTGCTAACTAAGTTGCTAGAGTTTCCATATATCAACTCTAATATCAGCAGATGGCCTTGCATACATGTATCTCATAGCAGGAGAATGTCTGCATT